CGTTTGACAAGGCGAGTGTTTCGATATCTGTGTATCCCACTGTCTTTCTGGTTGTAGACATTAGAAAAGCGAATGCATCAATGGATGTGTCCTGTCTAGTAGAAAACTTTCCAGTATTCATCCTGCCCCATTTATGAATTTACTGCAGCTTACCTTATGGATGGGCAACATCTACTATCTTCCTATGTTCCTGTTTTCTTCCTGAATTCTGGCCACTCTCCATAATAGGCTCATAGTTTTGTGTGCTAAATATGTACTACCTCCCAGCTCTGTGACATGGCCATGTACTCGATAACTGAAGGGAAATAGGAGCATCTCAGTAAACTCAGATATCAATGTGACCAGTAAAGTGTCAGTGGAGAAACCCTACTTTGGGTCTTTTGCTTACCTATTATTCTGTTGCCCTGAATGTCAGGAAGGTCTTTGCCTCAGGCCACACCTTTGTGAAGCCTGAAGAAAAGGGTTTTCAAATGGAAATGAATGGCATCACCTGTGGCTTTTTGCTTAATTGTTTGTAAAGGGATGTGTCTGAATCAGCCTCTTGGCCCTGTGTGAGGCTGTGGCTTAGATTCTCAGCACCTGATGGATCAAAGAAAGATCCCATGTGTGCATCCAAAGCCAAAATGGGAAAGAGTAGTTACTGATGATGAAGTCTCTTTCCTTCCTCTGTAAGGTTCCTGACTTCCATCAAGTGAAAATAGGGATCCTTTGGGTCAAATGAGTTTTTCAAAGCCCTGTAGAGGCTAGCCCACAGTTGCTTGGGTTTTCTCATGACTCCAATTCACACAAAGAATCTATGCCTGACAGTCAGTAGGTCTCAAATTGGAGAAGCAGAGCAGTGTTAAAGGCAAGCATATTGGATCACTCCTGCTTCAAGGGAAGGGTGTCCAGGCCACCCTGAGATTAGGCAAATGAGGGGCAAGGGAGCTTTTTTTTTGACACTGTCTTTGGCTGTTCCCCTCATGGAACAAACCAGCCAGAGGTTATGATGAGTGTCTATATGGAAGAAGATGAGTGCCATGTGGCAGTGTTTTGGTTTGAATTGTGCTCATTTCTGTGGCGGTTTAAAGGGATGACTGGGTCTACCTGTGCTTCAATTCTCGCATGATTCCCTTTGGAGTTCTGAATCTTAACTCAGAGAAGTATTGCCATGAATTGTGTTGGGGTATTAAGAGGCCACACATGAGAGTCGCCCTTGGAAACTGAGATCTAGGCCCAGGGTGGCTTTCCACAGAGCACTGGGAATCTCAGCCAGGATATCACATGATTTTATTCTTAAAGACCTGGCAGCCACAGTTGAGAGTGAAAACACACATGGACCTCACATTGTAGACCTCAATGCGCCTGGCTTCATGTGACCTTTTGGCCACTCTTGGGAAGCCTTGCCTCTGAGTGTTTCTCCAGAGCTTTCATTGAAATGAGCTTCCTCACCATTTAGTGGTTTCTGAATGAACAGAAACCCACAGTGCCTCCAAGGTCATCCTTGAAAAATGGCTTGATAAATACCATGAAATTTTTGATTCCCATGACCAGGTGTCACTAGAGAACCTTTGGATGTACTGTTTCTGATCATGAGTGTAAAGTGCCTTGATTGACTGGGTTTCATGATAATGGTGTAGAAGAGAGATGCCAGTAAGTTGGAGCCTGCTGATTAGTGGGCCTAGAGCAGTGGTGTGCAGGTGTGTGATAAAACATCTGTCGTGAAGCCATGTGGATCTGCCATTGGCTTCAAAATGGCTTGTACTGACATGGTGCAGCCAGCAGACCCTTATATGTAAAGGCATCTTGTTATATGGAGAGGTTTCAGGGCAATGTTCAGAGTCAGGTTGCTATGGTCAAGGGGGCAAGCTCTGTGTGATAGAAGCCTGGTTGGTGTATTCTCCTAGGACCCTAAGTCAGCACACGTGACACAATTTTCTCCAGCACTGTGTGGCAGTTGAACTCCTTGTATTTTATGAAGCCAATAAGAAACTCCCAGTGAAGCAGCAGGAAACACCACGAAAATTGGAGGATGACAAAATGGCCTCACAGTCCACACAGGGAGACACTTAGACCCCAGTGGCCACAGTTTACCTACAAAGAGAGAATTCAGCACTGCTGCCTTAGAAACCATGTCCTCCAGGTCACATAGATGCAGACCAACCTTTATGGTCTCACTACAAAGGAAGCTAAAGCTCCTGACAACAATATATATTTCAAGTGCTTAACCTCAGAGGCACATTCTCAAGAAATCTTTAGGCCAACAGAGCTCCATGTTTGTACAGTGTGTACCCTGTTCCCTACTTATGGAAACTCCTCTACCATTTTTTAGGTTGTGAACTCCTGAGCATTTTCTATTGCAGACATGTATTCACAGATTTTCTACATCCTCTTCTCGAATTGTGTCTTACTTGGGGCAAAGGTAATGTCAAGGCATTGTTCTGGATGAGAGTGAAAAGATATTTGTGTAGCACATAATTACATACACATTGGATTCATTTTCCTATTTTCCATTTAAAATACTGAATCCCTGACACTAACCCATAACCTATTAGACTCTGATTACGAATCCTGATATGATGCAGGAAAATAACCTAAACAGAATAGCAATACAAGCAGCTCAGAGAAGGCATGGTGTATAGTTGGATTTTCCTTTTGCATTATATAGGCTAGGTGTTATAAATCTAGTCCAAATTAAGAGAAGCAGTTCTCCATGTGTTTGTAAAGTTAACAAATACGTGAATTCCTGTCTCGCTTTCTCTGTAGCCTATTCAGCACATGTATTTTTACATGCACATATAGAATTCTACCTGGTATCTTATGTACATTCTTGAGAGGTGGCTGACTTGGCAGATACAAATTGTGTGAAGAAATCACTCCTCCTAAATGCTGTTGGAACTGAAAATTCAACCTATTTGTGAGCTTTCTACTTGAACAACATGATACATAAATCCATGTTCAGTAAAATAAAGATTGTTGGATCTGTGGATGATATATATTCTATGATGAATTTTGATTGGCATATATATTTCTATTATTTAATGTCTGTGTGTGTTTGTTTTGTTTATATATATATATATATATATATATATATATATATATATACACACACACACTCCAGATTTTTAAAAATATGAAATTCATATTTTTAAAAATATGAAAATATGTGCCTTATTATACACTCCGTAAATTCATTCTTGTTCATGTATGTGGATTTATAATCAACTTTTCACAACATTATTCCCAGAAATATTCATCAACCTGATATACATATTTGTTTCCTAGTACTAAAAACTGACTTCAGTGAATTGTTCATAGAAATCCTTATATTTCTAAAGTATAGCATCCATGCCAGTAGATTCCTATGAGACATGATGTGTATTTTGACGTTCCTTTTTATTCAACACTGGTACATTACTATTTCTTCAGTTGATGCACATCATTGGATATATATTTCATCCACATGTTCACAAATTTCCAGGCATTTGGTTCACTTTCAATCACTTCCTGCTTCAGAACACATGTACCCTTGTATGTTTCTGGACTGGTCTTTTCAGGAGACTTCTTTCCAAAGACATTATTTTTGATTCCTATAATCATTTTTTAAGCAAAACTCAAAAACCCTTCATGGTAAACCATAACTCTAATATTACCATTAGAAGTATAACTGGTTGGAATGAATGATTGTGTATCAATATTAGATTTCCTATATATTTTTAGATATCATATCAATCCATTATTTAAATGGAACAAGTTATATTATTTGTTCACAGTATGGTCTATTCATGCATTATCTCTCTATTCATAGACACAGGGTACACCTATTTGTGCCTCCAAATACTAATTAATATGTCTTCAAGATATTGCTCCCAGAAATGGTGAAAGAAATACTCATGTCACCTGATCTACATATACATTTTATCACAGTGGTATTCTGGACACAAAATGCAAAGTTCACACTTATGTTTATACCAAAGGCTAAATGGAAAGTCAGCATGGATTACTAAAAACATTTTTGTCCAGGTTGCCTAATGCTCTCAAATGTCAATCATATTGGTGACAATAGAGTTGCTTCTTCCTAAGATTATATATTCACCCTCAACCCTGTTGAAAATATCTAATCCTATCACTCACTTTACACTTTGCCTAATTTCCTAATGTCTTTATAGATATCTGCTTTCCTACATAATTTCCCCAGTTCATCATTGTGACTGACTCTTCATATGTGCTGACATTTACATTCACTCTCTAACTGACACCCTACTGCTAAAGGAAATTTTGGTCCAAATTTTATACTCACTCTTCTTCCTAAGCCTACTGACTATCTTCCTAATCCTACCTCCTATAGCTTATACTCTTATATTCTCTTCCACATTCAATCATCCAAGATACAAGGTCTTATGCCATTGTATATCAATTTATCTGAGACATCTGTGCAGATTGTTATTCAAAGCTGAGTATTTCAATCAAGGGCCCAATGCCCTTCTGGGCTTGAAATCTTTCTTAGATTTCTTTTTTCATATATTTCAGATATTTCACCTATATATTATTATAAATATCGCAGGTTCCCAATACCATTCTTCATTCAGGAGAATGATTCCTAAACCAAATGGAACATGTTCTTACCCCTAACCATACACTGTTCCCTCAATTCAAGTTTACAAAAGAGCAGGGACAGAGTTGGTCTTACACTACAGGAATGTAGGGCATCTGCCACCTGCTGAGAACCTCCAAGGTTTATGCAGTAATGATCCCTGGAAAAGATGTAGGCAGCTATGAAGGACCTGAGAAAGCAAAATCATCTTCCATGGCAAACAACCTGGTCAGGATGAAGGGATGTGTCTGAATGAGCCTCTCTCTTCTTAATGTAGACAAGATGGACCAAACCAGGCCTGTGTGGAGAGCTGTTCCTGGGTGCCCATGGTGGATATACCATTCTAACTTGTGAAAGTTTCACAGGAAGCAGGGGCAGCCTCCATCTCATGGGACCCTTGGAAGAAACTGTTAGAAAAAATTGGTTGCTAAGCAAGTGACCTCATTCAGTTCCTGAAGGAAATGACCTCACCTCACTTCCTTGGTGATGGAACTCTCTGAACTTGGGATCCAGGAAGCCAGGCACCCAGAGCCAGTCCCAGTCCCAGTCCCAGTGGGCTCACTTGTTTGGATTTACCAAGGACAGAGTCAGTCTTTCTTGGTACCTACTGATGTGAGGATGGCCAAATGCCAGGAAAGCTCTGAAGAGGGGAGTTTCCTGAGAAAGCAGGTATTGAGTAGCTCACCGCTGGCTCTTGACAACTTCACAGACTTGGCCAAGGAGGCCAGATCTGAGAGAGGACAGGCCATTTTGGGAGAACATAGTAAAGCCCAGGAGTCAAACAACACTTTGGATAGTCAAAGACCTACTTGGGGGAATGAGGTGCCTTTGTAGGTGTGTGTGTGAGTTTGTGGTTTTGTCTCATGTTCTGAGAATAGGTAGGAAAGGCAGTTTGTTTGGTTTGGAGTGGAGTGTTTCTAGTAACTCCTGAAGAAGACGAGTGTTTCTATGTCTCTGTATCCCACTGTTTCCCTGGTTGTAGACATGAGATAAGAGAATGCATCAATGGATGTGTTCTGTCTAGTAGAAAACTTCCGAGAATTCACCCTGCCAAATTTATGAATTTACTGTGGCTTGCCTTATGGATGGGCAACACCTACTATCTTCCTAAGTTCCTGTTTTCTTCCTGAATTCTGGCCACTCTCCAGAATAGGCTCATGGTTTTGTGTCCAAGATATGTACCACCTCCCATCTCTGTGACGTGGCTATGTACTGGATAACTGAAGGGAATGGGGAGCATCTCAGGAAACTCAGGTTATCAGTGTGACCACTAAAGTGTCAGTGGAGAAACCCTGCTTTGGGCCTTTTGCTTACCTATTGTTCTGTTGCCCTGAATGTCAGAAAGGTCTTTGCCTCAGGCCAGCCCTTTGGGAAGCCTGAAAAAAATGCTTTTCAAATGGAAATGAATGGGCATCACTGGTAGCTTTTTGCTTAATTGCTTGGCAAACGGATGTGTCTGAATTAGCCTCCTGGCCCTGTGTGAGGCTGTGGCTTAGATTCTCAGCACCTGATGGATTAAAGAAAGATCCCATGTGTGCATCCAATGCCAAAATGGCAAAAAGTGGAGTCATTGTGGATGAAGTCTCTTGCCTTCCTCTATAAAGTTCCTGACATAATCAAGTGACAATAGGGATTTTTTAAGTCAAATGAGTTCTTCAAAGCCCTGCAGAGGCTAGACCATTGTTGCTTGGGTTTTCTCATGACTCCAATTCACACAAAGAATCTATGCCTGACAGTCAGTAGGTCTCAAATTAGAGAAGCAGAGCAGTAAGAAAGGCAGTCATATTTGATCACTCCTGCTTCACAGAAAGGGTGTCCAGGCCACCCTGAGATTAGGCAAATGAGGAGCAAGGGAGCTTATTTTTGACACTGTCTTGGGCCACGCCCCTCATGGAAACCACCAGCCAGAGGTTATTAAGAGGAGTGTCTATATGGAAGAAGATGAGGGCATTGTGGCAGTGTGTTGGTTTCAATTGTGCTCATTTGTGTGGCGGTTGGAAGGGATAACTGGGTCCACCTGGGCTTGAATTCTGGCTTGATTCCCCTTGGAGACTGAGTTCTGAATCTTAACTCAGAGAAGTAGTGCCATGAATTGTGTTGGGATTTTAGGAGGCCACACATGAGAGTCACCCTTGGAAACTGAGATCTAGGCCCAGGGTGGCTTTCCACAGAGCAGTGGGAATGTAAGCTAGGATACCACATGATTTTATTCTTAGAGACCTGGCAGCCATAGTTGAGAGTCAAAACACACATAAACCTCACATTGTAGACCTCAAGGGGCCTGGCTTCATGTGACCTTTTGGCCACTCTTGGGAAGCCTTGCCTCTGAGTGTTTCTCCAGAGCTTTCATTGAAATGAGCTTCCTCACCGTTTAGTGGTTCCTGAATGAATAGAAACCCACAGTGCCTTCAACTTCATCCTTGAAAAATGGCTTGATAAATACCATGAAATTTTTGAAATTCCCATGACTAGGTGGCACTAAAGAACCTTTGGATGTCCTGTTTGCTGATCATGAGTGTACCAGACAGTGCCTTGATTGACTGGGTTTCATGAAAATGGTGTAGAACAGAGATGCCAGTAAGTGTGAGCCTGCTGATTAGTGGGCCTAGAGCAGTGGTGTGCAGGTGTGTGATAAATCATCTGTGGTGGGGCCATGTGGATCCGTCATTGGCTTCTAAATGGCTTGTGACTGACATGGTGCAGCCAGCAGATTATTATATATAAAGGCATCTTGTTATATGAAGAGGTCTCAGGGCAATGTTCAGAATCAGGTTGCTATTGTCAAGGGGGCAAACTCTGTGGGATAGAAGCCTGGTTGGTGCATTCCCCTAGGACCCTGAGTCAGCACACCTGACAGATCTCCCTCCAGCACTTTGTGCCAGTTTAACTCCTTGTATTTCATTAAGCCAATATGAAACTCTCAGTGAAGTGGCAAGAAACACCTAGAAAAGTGGAGGATGACCAAATGGCCTCACAGTTTACACGGGGAGACACTTAGACTCCAGTGGTCACAGGTTACCTACAAAGAGAGAATTCAGCACTGGTGCCTCATGTTCATTGGAAAATCAGAAACCATTTCCTCCAGGTCACATAGATGCAGATCAAGCTTTGATGGTCTCACTACAAAAGAAGCTAAAGCTCCTGACAACAACATGTATTTCATGTGGTTAACCTCAAAGGCACATTCCCAAGAAGAATTTAGGCCAGCAGAGCTCTATGTATGTGGAGTGTTTACCGTGTCTTTTACTTATGGAAATTCTTCTACCATTTTCAAGGTTGTGAACTCCTGAGTATTTTTCATTGCAGATATGTATTCACAGATTCTCTAATTTTTCTCATCGAATTGTGTCTTACTTGGGGCAAAGGTAATGTCAAGGCACTGTTTTGGATGAGAGTGGGAAGATATTTGTGTAGCACATAATTGCATACACATTGATTTCATTTTCCTATTTTTCATTGGAAATACTGAATCCCTGACACTAACCCATACCCTCCTAGATTCTGATTACGAATCCTGATATGATGGAAGAAAATAACCCAAACAGAATAGCAATACAAGCAGTTCAGAGAAGGCATGGTGAATAGTTGGAATTTCCTTTTGTATAATAAAGGGTAGTCCAATTAAAGAGAAGTAGTTCTCCATATGTTTGTAAAATTAACAAATATGTGAATTCCTGTATCCCTTTCTCTGTAGCCTATTCAGCACATGTATTTTTACATGCACATATAGAATCCTACCTGGTATCCCGCATACATTCTTGTGAGGTGGCTGACTTGGCAGATACAAATTTAGAGAAGAGATCACTCCTCCTAAATGCTGTTGAAACTGAAAATTCAACCTATGGGTGAGCTTTCAAATTGAACATCATGATACATAAATCAATGTTCAGTAAAGGAAATATTTTTGGATCTGTGGATGATATATATTTCATGATGAATTTTGATTGGCATATATATTTCTACTTTTTAATGTCTGTGTGTCTTTGTTTTGTTTCTATATAGACACACACTCTCCAGATTTTTCAAAATATGAAATATATGTCTTATTATACACTCCCTAAATTCATTCATGTTCATGTATGTGGATTTATAATCAACTTTTCACAACATTATTCTCAGAAATATTCATCCACCTGAAATACATATTTGTTTCCTAGTACTGAAAACGAACTTCAGTGAATGGTTCATAGAAATCCTAATATTTCTAAAGGAACTGACCCAGTTTAGCATCAATGCAAGGATATTCCTATGAGACATGATGTGTATTTTTATGATCCTTTTTATTCAACACTGGTACATTACTATTTCTTCAGTTGAACACATCATTGGATATATCTTTCATCCACAAGTTCTGGACTGGTTTTTTCAGGAGACTTCTTTCCAAAGACATTATTTTCGATTTCCATAATCACTTTTCAAGCAAAACTCACACACCCTTCATGGTAAACCATAACCCTAATATTACCATTAGAAATATACCTGTTGGAATGAATGATTTTGTATCAATATTAGATTTCCTATATATGTTCAGATATCAATTCAATCCATTATTTAAATTGTAACCAGTTATATTATTATTTCACAGTATGGTTTATTCATGCATTATCTCTCTATTCATAGACACAGGGTACACCTATTTCTGCCTCCAAATACTAATTAATACGTCTTCAAGATATTGCTCCCAGAAATGGTGAAAGAAATACTCATGTCACCTGATCTACATGTACATTTTATCACAGTGATATTCTGGAAACAAAATGCAAAGTTCACACTTAAGATTATACCAAAGGCTAAATGGAAAGTGAGCGTGGATTACTAAAAACATCTTTGTTCAGTTTGCCTAAGGCTCTCAAATGTCAATCCTATTGGTGACTACAGAGTGGCTTCTTCCTAAGATTATATATTCACCCTCAACCCTGTTGAAAATATCTAATCCTATCACTCACTTTATACTTTGCCTGATTTCCTAATGTCTCTATGGATATCTGCTTTCCTACATAATTTCCCCAGTTCATCATTGTGACTGACTCTTCACATGTGCTGACATTTACATTCACTCTCAAACTGAGAACCTACTGCTAAAGATCTTTTGGTCCAAATTTTATACTCACTCTTCTTCCTAAACCTAATGACTATCTTCCTAATCCTACCTACTATTCCTTTTTGACTGGATGTTCTTTTTCACATTCAATCATCCAAGGTACAAGGTCTTATGCCATTGTGTATTAATTTATCTGAGACATCTGTGCAGAATGTAATTCAAAGCTAAGTATCCCAATCAAGGGCCCAATGCCCTTCTGGGCTTCAAATCTTACTTAGATTTCTGTTTTCATACAGATATTTCACGTATATATTATTATAAATGTCACAGGTTCCCAATATCATTCTTCATCCAGCAGAATGATTCCTAACCCAAATGGAACATGTTCTTACCCCTAAGCATACAGTTTTCCCTCAATCCAAGTTTACAGAAGAGCAGGGACAGAGTTGGTCTTACACTACAGGAATGTAGGGCATCTGCCACCTGCTGAGAACCTCAAAGTTTCATGCAGAAATGATCCCTGGAGAAGATGTAGGCAGCTATGAAGGACCTGAGAGAGCAAAAGTCATGTTCCATGGCAAACAACCTGGTCAGGATGAAGGGATATGTCTGAAAGAGCCTCTCTCTTCTTATTGTAGACAAGATGGACCAAACCAGGCCTGTGTGGAGAGCTGTTCCTGGGTGCCCATGGTGGATATACCATTCTAACTTGTGAAAGTGTCACAGGAAGCAGGGGCAGCCTCCATCTCATGGGACCCTTGGAAGCAACTGTTAGGACAAAGTGGTTGCCAAGCAAGTGACCTCATTCTGTTCCTGAAGGAAATGACCTCACCTCACATCCTTGGTGATGGAACTCTCTGAACTTGGGATCCAGGAAGCCAGGCACCCAGAGCCAGTCTCAGTCCCAGTCCCAGTGGGCTCACTTGTTTGGATTTACCAAGGAGAGAGTCAGTCTTTCTTGGTACCTACTGATATGAGGATGGCCAAATGCCAGGAAAGCTCGGAAGAGGTTACTTTCCTGAGAAAGCAGGTAGTGAGTGGCTCACTGCTTGCTCCTGACATCTTCAAAGAGTTGGCTAAGTCGGCCAGATCTGAGAGAGGACAGGCCATTTTGGGGGAACATAGCATGGCCCAACAGTCAGACCACACTCCTGATAGTCACAGGCCTACTTGGGAAAAGTAGGTGCCTTGTTTGTGTGGGTGTGAGTTTGTGGTTTTTTCTCATGTTCTGAGAATAGGTAGGAAAGGTGGTTTGTTTGATTGAGAGTGGACTGTTTCTAGTAAGTCGTTAGACAAGGCGAGTGTTTCTATGTCTGTGTATCCTACTGTGTCCTTGGTTGTAGACATTAGAAAAGAGAATGCAGCAATGGATGTGTCCTGTCTATTAGAAAACTTCCCAGCATTCATTCTGCCCAATTTATTAATTTACTGCACCTTGCCTTATGGATGGGCCACACCTACTATCTTTTTAAGTTCTTGTTTTCTTCCTGAATTCTGGCCACTCTCCAGATTAGGCTCACGGTTTTGTGTCAAATATATATCTCACCTTCCAGCTCTGTCACATGACCATGTACTGAATAACTGAAGGGAAATAGGGGCATCTCAGTAAACTCAGATATCAATGTAACCAGTAAAGTGTCAGTGGAGAAACCCTTCTTTGGACCCTTTGCTTACCTGTTGTTCTGTTGCCCTGAATGTCAGAAAGGTCTTTGCCTCAGGCCAGCCCTTTGTGAAGCCTGAAGAAAATGCTTTTTAAATGGAAATGAATGGGCATCACTGGTGGCTTTTTGCTAAATTGCTTTGCAAAGGGATATGTCTGAATAAGCCTCTTGGCCCTGTGTGAGGCTGTGGCTTAGATTCTCAGCACCTGATAGAATAAAGAAAGATCCCATGTGTGCATCCAAATCCAAAATGGTATAAAGAGCAGTCATTGTGGATGAAGTCTCTTGCCTTCCCCTTTAAGGTTCCTCACCTCAATCAAGTGAGAATAGGGATCCTTTGGATCAAAGGAGTTTTTCAAAGTTCTGCAGATGCTAGCTTATAGGTGCTTCGGTTTTCTCATGACTCCAATTCACACAAAGAATCTATGCGTGACAGTAAGTAGGTCTCAAATTGGAGGAGCAGAGCAGTATTAAAGGCAAGCATATTTGCTCACTCCTGCTTCACAGGAAGGGTGTCCAGGCCACTCTGAGATTAGGCAAATGAGGGGCAAGGGAGCTTATTTTTGACACTGTCTTGGGCTGTGCCCCTCATGGAAACCACCAGCCAGAGGTTATGATGAGTGTCTATATGGAAGAAGATGAGTGCCATGTGGCAGTGTCTTGGATTGAATTGTGCTCATTTGTGTGGCGGTTTGAAGAAATGACTGGGTCCACGTGGGCTTCAATTCTGGCATGATTCCCCTTGGAGACTGAGTTGTATAACTTAACTCAGAGAAGTATTGCCATGAATTGTGTTGGGATTTTAAGAGGCCACACATGAGAGTCGCCCTTGGAAACAGATCTAGGCCCAGGGTGGCTTTCCACAGAGCAATGGGAATCTCAGCCAGGATATCACATGATTTTATTCTTAGAGACCTGGCAGCCATAGTTGAGAGTCAAAACACACATAATCCTCACATTGTAGACCTCAATGGGCATGGCTTCATGTGACCTTTTGGCCACTCATGGGAAGCCTTGCCTCTGAGTGTTTCTTCAGAGCTTTCATTGAAATGAGCTTCCTCACCATTTAGTGGTTCCTGAATGAATAGAAAGCCACAGTGCCTCCAAGTTCATCCTTGAAAAATGGCTTGATAAATACCATGAAATTTTTGAAATTCCCATGACCAGGTGGCCCTGGAGAACCTTTGGATGCCCTGTTTGCTGATCATGAGTGTACCAGACAGTGCCTTGATTGACTGGATTTCATGAAAATGGTGTAGAACAGAGATGCCAGTAAGTGTGAGCCTGCTGATTAGTGTGCCTAGAGTAGTGGTGTGCAGGTGTGTGATAAAATATCTCTTGTGAAGCCATGAGGATCTGCCATTGGCTTCCAAATGGCTTGTGACTGACATGCTGCAGCCAGCAGACCATTATATGTAAAGGCATCTTGTTATATGGAGATGTTTCAGGGCAATGTTCAGAATCAGGTTGCTATGGTCAAGGGGGCCAGCTCTGTGGGATAAAAGCCTGGTTGGTGCATTCTCCTAGGACCCTGAGTCAACACACATGACAGAACTTCATCCAGCACTGTGTGCCAGGTGAACTCCTTGCATTTCGTGAAGCCAATAGAAAACTCCCAGTGAAGCAGCCAGAAACACCACGAATACTGGAGGATGACCAAATGGCCTCACAGTCCACTCGGGGAGACACTTAGACCTCAGTGGCCACAGTTTACCTACACAGAGAAAATTCACCACTGCTGCCTCATGTTCATTGGAAAATCAGAAACCATGTCCTCCAGGTCACATAGATGCAGACCAAGCTGTGATGTTCTCACTACAAAGGAAGCTAAAGCTCCTGACACAACATATATTTCAAGTGCCCAACCTAAGAGGCAGTTTTCCAAGAAGTCTTTAGGCCAGCAGAGCTCCATGTTTGTGGAGTGTCTACCCTGTTTCCTACTTATGGAAACTCCTCTACCATTTCCAAGGCTGTTAACTCCTGAGCATTTTCCATTGCAGATATGTGTTCACAGATTTTTTAACTCTTCTCCTCGAATTGTGTCTTACTTGGGGCCAATGTAATGTCAAGGCATTGTTCTGGATGAGAGTGGGAAGATATTTGTGTAGCTCATAATTGCATACACATTGGATTCATTTTCCTA